ACTCCAAACATGTCATTGAAATCCTTGTGTTTTGTTTAAACATCTCACCAATTTATGAGTGATTTTATCAGATTTTGGGAGTAATATATTTAATGGAACGGGTCTAACGGGTCGACCCACTAACCAATCCAACCCGACCCAAAAAAACACGGGTTATAGGGTTTGGGTCATTCGGATTTCGAGTTACAAAAATTTCTAGTTTTTAGGCGGTTTCGGGTTGGGTCAATGGGTCGGGTTGTAATTTGCCGGTCTAAGTGAAACCCAGCAAGCATGACCACAATCCAAAAATTCCGTTGGGAGGTGCCATTTTGAAGGAGGTTCATGTGTTGTGAATAGGGGTGTGTAATGGTCCGGTCTATACCAGATTGCACCGGATCAAATCGGCATTCGGATCTAATCGCACCGAATCGAGTATAATACGGTTTGGTATATGATTTTATAAATTTTTATAATTACTAAAGAAAATAGACCGAATTGATTTTTGGATCGGACCAAACGGACATAATGCAATGATGGTCCATTTCTTGGTCCACATATCTCTTAACTATTGACCGCAGTTCTCATGAGTTTGGTCCTCTCCGAACCGGATCGAACCATTGCACACTTCTACTCGAGAATATCTCTCTAGCGTGTTTTGTTTCACTTCGTGCCTTGTATGTACAATAGGGCTGCCCATATCGTGGCAAAACAAGCTCTCTTATCGTTGGCTCGGCGGCTTGTTGACCAACATGTGTTTCTTTCTTTTTATTTTTGACTTGATATGTTTTGTATATTCGTATTTTTTTATTCCTGCTCGGAATATCTTTGGCAAAAAATGATTGATTGATTTCCCTTGGTTGTTTATTCATTTTTAACATAAATAGAAAAAAAATTAAATATAACTTTTTAGTAAAATCTTTCAACATTTTCAATTTATTTGTCAAATATTTTAAAATAGAAAGTATTAGCCAAATGTTAACTTGATAGCTTTTTATTAGCAAAGCTGACTTGGCGACATGATGTTGAGTTGAAAGAGACGCATGGTTAATATTCCAAAATGTTTGTATTTTAATTAAAAGAATAGTTACAAAATTATTAATAATAACAGACAAATGACTAATATTTTGATGCGCGGCAAAAATTTGGCTAATCATTTAAAAAGTATAAAAAGTTTGACTAATAAAATATATTTACTCGAAATTTTAGTTGTGAGCAATTTTTATTCATATCAAATAATTTCTTGTGTTTTATTAAAATAAAAATTATTAAATTTCATACAATTATGTTTCTTCCTTCTGCGATAGTATACTAAATAACTTCCCTGCCCTCCTTTCTCAAATCATGACTCCAACCCTGATGAGGGAACAAGCAAGAATTGTTGACGTCTTATACTATGTTGTACCATGGTACAAAAACGGCGTACATCATAATCATAGAGAAGCCTTATATAAATACTGTGGCATATGGTCATATAGATCGGTAGCCGCAGCACCCTGGTATATCTAACGTCCCACATTTTCCCCCAAATACAGCAAAATGTTTATATTTTTTTTATTTTTTCAAAATAATTGGTGAAATCCAAATTAAAAATATATATATCAATTGATTGAAAATAACTGAATTAAAAAAAAAATTAAAATTCAATCTCAATCAAACATTCAAACCCAAGGTTATTCACTTATTGTCTTGTGCCGAGCTGCGTGCAGGCTTTGTACTTTGTAGACACCGCCATGATAGAGAAACCAAGACACAAGCAACAGGACAGGTTGACGAAGCAATTATAAGATTAAGTAAATTTGATAGTCGAATAGAGTCAAACACAAAAAGACCAAATTAAATAATTAATTAGTTGACGTCTCTAAATGTAAGATATTATTCAGTTCGTCTTATGTTACAGCCTTACAGGCAGTATTTCCCAGCGGAAGCCTAGTTCGTCTTATTGTTAGTGGCAGTATTTTCCTAGTTGTAATTTTTTTTTATAAGGATGATATAGTATTAAGATTATGAATGGTCCAAAAAGAAATTACAAAGATGAAAGAACAAGAGAGAAATGAAATATGAAAAATCCGACCGCCAAAGGAAAGCGGAAGGAATAACCTACAACAGCAAAAATAAAAATAAAAAAAACCTCATGAAAGGAAACAGGCAGCAAAACAGCCACCACAGATAGGGATGGCAATCAAACCCATGTCCATGGGTATCCGACCGCACCCGACCCAGTCAACGCGGGGAATTCCCGCATTGACCGGGTATGGGTAAACCCGCAAAAAGTTTGATGGGTATGGGCGGGTATGGTTTTAGCCTCCCCACCCCATACCCATACCCATACCCGCCCCACCAAAAATATTTCTTCATATATGAAAATATTTGAATCAATTTGTATCATATCAATAATAGTGAATATAACTAAAGAATAATATATATAGTAGAAAGGCAATTGAGTGGCCACCCAAATCAAAATTTAATTTCTTTCTCTCAATTTTCCCTTCACTCTTTCACTTTTTCCCCTTGTTAAGAAGATTATGTTAGTTAATTATTACTTAATAGATGTATTAGAGTAGGGAATAATGATTTGGATGACATTGTACTCTACTCTGATATGGATTATTGGATGCTTTAGGAAAAGATGCTTTGAATCGTATTAAATATGATTGTCTCTTTGTCGACTTCATTATATAGTATGTGTGTTTAATGTTATAATTGAAATCTACATGTAAAATATTCGATATTATAATGCTGGATGTACGGGGTGGGTATTACCCATGGGTACCCGAAATCCATGGGTATGGGGATGGGTTTCCAAAACCTTCCCCGCATGGGTATGGGTATAGATATTTGAAAGCGGGGATGAGGATGGTTTAGGCAAACCCGCGTCAAACCCGTCCCATTGCCATCCCTAGCCATAGCACAACCCGAAAGGAACAAGTGACGGGGAAAAAAGAAACACCAGGCACCAGAAACCTATCCTGCAGTGTTGCCTGGGATGAGCCTAGATTTCAATCTTCACAACCAAACTTCAGCTTCCCTTGATTAACCTTCTTTGCCGTAGTTAGCCAAGAAAAAATTGAAAGCCCAATCCTGAAAGCCACCACCCTAGCAAGAGATTTCTCATCGTTGAAAGTCCGACTATTTCTCTCCAATCAAACTCTCCAACAGAAAGCATGAAGGAAAATACGAATGCACCATTGTTTGGAAGTTTCCCGGCTGGTAACCGGCCACTCGCACATTCTAGTAGCAATATAATTGTGGTTAGTTCCTGCATTTATGAAGGTCCACAAAGCTTCCCAAGATTTGCCAAACTTTTGTCGAGAAAGGACAGTTGATGAAAAGGTGATCAGTGGTTTCTTCATCGGCTTCACAGAGATTGCATCTGTTTGGAATATTCCACCCCTTCTTCTTAAGATTATCCAAAGTCAGGATCTTTTTATGAAAGACAGTCCACAAGAAACCACACACTCAGTGGCGGACCAAGGATTTTGAGATAGGTGTGTCGACCAATAAAATTAGATTAAAAACAAATTAATTAACATTAATTAATTTAAAATAAACAGACAAATTTTATTCATAAATTTCACCAATTTCATTATTTCTTACAGTGAACCACGATGAGTTTTCATATTTTGAAAGATTTCTTAATTACATTTGTCCATTAGGTTGCAAATCAAGTATTTTGTATGTAAAAAATTAAACAATTATTCATAAACTGGTCACTCAATTTATACCAAAGATTGTTCTCGATTCAACTCATATGGAAAATGTCATTTTGTAGCTTGCAGTTGCAAGAGGTAAAGTCAATCTTAATTTCAGATGAGAAATTTGGTATGAGAAACTCGAAGGATGGCTACAGGCGTCAATGTGGAAAGAAATAACAAAATTAGAAAGTAAGTTGAAAATTAACTTAAAGAAAAATCTATGAAAGAAGCAATGGGGAAAGACACCAACTAATTAAGAAGTAAGTTGAAAATTCACTATCTAATTATTTGACTCAACCAGCTTATTAATCAATTTAATTATCATTCAAATTATCAATGTTGTCTCTATGTGGATAGATATCTTTCTAAATACTCACTACGTACTAAGTAGTCAATTAATTTTTACTCTTATGCAACCAACTAATTAACTACCAAATCTGAAGTCCGATAACTCTTATATTTATATATTTTAATAACATTATGACAACATTTTTTTAATGTAATAAGGTGTGTCGGTTAAAATTATTGAATTTGTGTCAGAGGTCCCATATTCGAATTTTTTACTTAAACAATTGTGGTTTCTTCACAAAAATTTCGAATCAAGGTGTGTCGGTTAAAATTATTGAATGTGTGTCGGAGATCCCATATTCGAATTTTTTGCACTAAAAAATTGTGAGTTCTTCACAAAAACTTCGAATCAAGGTGTGTCACCTGACACGCCTTGGGCAAAGGTGGGTCCGCCCCTGCACACACTTTGCTTGGTATAAGCTGCTGCCAAATCAAGTTGTAGAGGAAATCAACAACACCCGGAAACCTGTCCCTTGCCAATTGGTTGTAAGCTGATCTAACACTGAAGGCGCTGTTCGACGCTTGTTTTCACTGAGTCTCTCCGGGCCTGAAAAAAGGAAGAAGAAGGCAAGCTTTTCAGCAAGTTCATTACGGAAACTCTCTCACTCTCAACCCCACCCGTAAGATTAAATTTCAAAGGAAGAATCCAAGACACTCTCCCATTTTCCAATTTAAGGATACCAGCAACTCTAGCCAGTGGAGCTTCAGCTGCGGTAGAAAACCTCGAGAAATCGACAGCTAGACAACAACCATTGAGTCACACGTCAAACCAAAAATAAGTCCAAGAACCAATACCATGATAGATTTCTGCAAATTTCCAGAAGTCCCATTTAGCATAAACAATCCTGTGCCATAGACTACTTCCCACCAGACCAACCGGATCCCCTGTTATCCATTCTGAACTGGAGCAAGGAAATTTCAGCCTGATAAGCTCCCTCTACCAAGCGTGTCTTTCGGTTCCACCACCATTTGCAGAGTAAAGCGATGTTATGGAGTTTAATGTCATGAATTCCTAGCCCCTGAGATTAAGTGGCATTTTTCCTGTCCTCAGTCCCAAACCAAATAAAGTTTCTCTAGATCTTTTTGAGCGCTGAAGTTACAGCTTTTGAGGCCAGAACAGAGTTATTCAGAACTACCACAGAAAGAAAGGAAGTTTCCTTTCCAACCTCCAATCTTCTCTACACTTTGTTAATGACTGAATTCTAGAACATCGAAGAGTCGCTCAAGGCCCCAAGAGGTAAACCCAGGTAAGTCATTGGAAGGGGCTTCCCAATCACATCCCAAATTGTCCACTATTATGTCCAGATTATGCCCTTTGCCAACTGGATGCACCCTTGTTTTTTGCAAGTTGATCTCCACCCCGGTTATGCTCTGGAAACACACTAAAGCAGCAAGAACATTGGTAACATCATCCGCGTTGCCTTCAGAGAACACAATCGCATCCTCTGCATATAGAAGATGGGTTACCTCCACACGACGATCCTCTTCATCAATGCAAAAACCATTAAGGAAACCTGCCTCCTTGATCTCAATTAAGATATAGGACATAATATCCATCTCCATATTGAAGAGGAAGGGAGATAGCAGGTCTCCCTATTTAACTCCTCTCTTCATCCTAAAGAAACCACTAGCCTCCACATTAACCAACACCGATTTTTTTGTCGAGGAGATGGATCCTTTAATCCACTTAAGAAATCTCGGACACACCTCCATAGCCTTAAGAGTCTTGAAAATGCATTCCCAATTAATTGAGTCGAAGGCCTTTTCGATGTCCAACTTAATTACAACATTCGGCTTTCCGCTTCTTCTTTGACTGTCAATAACTTCATTAGAAATGAGGCTTGCCTCGTGAATCTGTCTTCCCTTAGTGCCTGCAAACTGGAAAAAAGCGAAGTGATTGAACTCATAAAGGGTTGCAGCATGAAAAATAGAGTTTTATAAATGATCTTGTTCAAACTTCCAATGAATTTGATGGGTCTAAAGTCTGTAACTAATTCCCGTGCTTCAATTTTGGGGATGAGGCATATGAAAGATTGAGCGATGCACTGAGGAAGCGTCCCTGTGAGGAAGAAATTATCCATAGCCTGCAGCATGTCACTCTTAATAATATGCCAATCTTTCTTGAAAAATTCAAGGGTGAAACCATCAGGCCTCGGTGATTTATCATCGTTGCAGCCAATGTAGTTAAAAGCTATAGTTTAAGCCTAAAAGCTTACGCTTTTAAGTTCTTACCTCCTCCAATATAGTAATTTTCTTTGAAAAATCTTTTGACACCATAAGCTTAATATAAACTCTTTAAAACCACAATATGTGCATAAAAAATCCTTAAAAGCTAGCTTTTAGGACGCTTATAAGAGCTTTTAATGATAATGTTTATGGAGCGATTTGGCACGTCGTGCGATGGTCAAATGGTTTTTTGTGGATGAAAAAACTAAAGTGATCATGCCGCTGGCTTCAAAATGATTTTTTTAACATGAATGATGATTGATGTATTTATGAGGAGCATGATGTTAGTGACAATAACAACTATGATGATGGCGGTAATTAAGATGATATGATTTGGATGGAAATGTGGACGTTGCTGCCCAAATGTAGCATAAATCATGATCAATTTTTTTGGGGGGCTTGTGATGTCCATAATATGAATATTTCAGAGTTATGATTCATATTAGCGTACGATTCAACTCTTTTTCTATGTTTATGAACTTGTTCTGAGTTAGAATGTACTCTAGTTCAAAATCTTTTCCAATTTTCTGTGTGTGGATTCTATTAGTCTTTTAAGTTGCTTTTTTACAATTTCAATGGTTCATATAAACTTACATTCTTACGCTCCGCTTTTACGCTTAAGTTTGTACCCATCATTTCGCTTATACATAAAAACTATAGTTTAACTACATTGGTTGCAGCTTTTAACGGCTCTCAAAACTTCTGCTTCTGTAAATGGTTTCCCAAGATCAGCATTGTCTTGAATGAAGAAAGCGAAAGGTTTGTACCTTCCTGGGAAGGGTCTGTTCGCAGCTTCTTCTTCAAATTTCCTTGAAAAGAATTCGATAAAGCCGGATTTAATTTCTTGAGGATCCATAGTCAGAGATCCATTAATCCTCAATTGATAAATCATGCGTCTTCTTTAATTATGAGCTGTCGTTTTGTGAAAGAAAGCGGTGTTTTTTCGCCCACCTGCAGCCACAATTCCCTTGATCTTTCCCTCCAATAAATCTCTTCCATCAGCAACATCTTCTGGATTTCACATTTTAACCGACTTCTATCAATGCTCATGGATTCAGGTAGCCCACCAAGTTCCTCTAAATTATCAATCTCTTTAATTCTAGCCAAAAAATCTGATAATTTTCTCTCAATCCTTCCAAATTGCTCCCTGTTCTACTACTTAATCAGAGCCTTTGTCTGCTTGGTTTTTTGGGCAAAGCAGAATAAAAAGCTAGATCCACTGATTGGGACACTCCACCATCCAACCAGAGACATAAGGAAAGAGTCCTCCAAGAGCCACACGTTTTCAACTCTCCAAGGGTGTCGAATTCGTTCTTCAAACCCCCAAGTCAAAAGGATCGGTGTGTGGTCTGACTCGATTCGATCTAACTCCTAAAGATAGTTAGGAGGGGAGTTTTCCTCAAATCCTAGGTTGAGGAGAGCCCTGCCGATGCGAGATAGAAGAGGATCAGACCCCCCTTACTATAAGTAAATTTTGCACGAGAAAGAGGGACGTCAAGCAGTTTGTGAGAACTAATAAAGCTGTTGAAATCGGACATCAATTCCCAATCCCGCGGTCGACCAACAAAATCTTCAAGAGCCCTCACAAGATTGAAATCTCTAATGCAAAGCGGGGCTTGATAATTCCGGCACACCCAATTCAGCTCATTCAGAAATTGAATCTTGTCATACTTGGTTTGAGGACCGTAAATGATCATGAGAGACACGGTTAGAGGAGTCAATTCACTATTCTGTACCGGCTTTACTCCAGTAGAGGAGGTTTAGTTCGTTAGGGCCTCAATCTGTGTTACTCCGGTGGAGGTTAGTCGCCCGCTGGGGACTCAGATTGAGAGGACCTGGAGACCTTTAGTCGAGGCTGCCGACTGTTTAAGAACCATTCGCGGTATACTATCATTGAACCTGACTTGGTGAATTACAACCTGGCTTAACTGCAGTCTAGGGAGAACCATATCTGGGTGACCTCTCACAACTTTGAACACAACTTTCACTGCTTTTGCTTGCTAGTTTAGTTATACCTTCACTACACTTGAACCGCTAAATAATAAGATTTTCACGGAGTAGTCATCACACCTAGGACCCAGGTTGACATTTAGAACTAAACCCGCTATACTACGCATTAGTAGGTGGTTACACTTGACCACTTTCTAGTGTGACGGTAGAGGCGTGTCAAGTTTTTGACGCCATTGCCGGGGACGGCTAGGTTGTTGAAGAAACGTGATTTCTGTTACTTTAGCATTTCTTTTCCACCTTGACTGTTTGCTTTGTCCTACTTGTGCCTTCACGGGTTTGCTTGCTTGGCTGTGTGCAGGTAGTGCATGACCCGTAGCCATTCGGGAGGTTTACTACCGTTAGATCCGGAGCTAGAACGCACTTGTCGCCAGTTAAGGAGACAACAACGAGCAAGACTGGCTACAGAGGAAGTGCACGTCGACGGCCATCTGAGATGCGCCTCCGAAGAGGAATACGAGATGGGCGACAAGCACAACAGGGGGAACCTTAACCTGGGGCATAATCAACCCCTCGAGATGCCCATGCAGGTCCCCCTAGTGAATCATATCCTTGGGAACAATCCAGTTCCCTAGGAAGACAGGGCTCAGCATCCACCACCCCCACCGGGTCCTACTATGGAGTACTACTACACTCCACGGGTCGCCAACATCTGTCCCGTCATCCTGTATCCGCCATCCCAGCAAATAACTTAGAGATCAAGCCATGCTGGATTCAACTAATTACATCCTATATCCAGTTCCATGGCTTGAAGGATGAAGAGGCGAGGGTCCACCTTTCCCAGTTCCGGCAGTTGACAAATGGTTCAAAATGAATGGTGTACCCGATGATGCGATCCGTCTCCACCTTTTACCACATTCTCTGACGGGGCATGCGAAGAGGTGGTTAGTGACCCAGCCCCCACTGTCCATCACGTCATGGGATGACTTGGCCGACAAGTTTGTGCAGAGGTACTATCCAGCCTCGAAGACCACGGAGATTCAGCGGGAGATCACTCATTTCCGCAAAAAGCCAGATGAGTCACTACGTGATGTCTGGGAGCGGTACTCGGGATTCTTCTGGAAATGTCCCCATCACAGTTTCAGTGATGCATTCACAGTGGGGAATTTCTATAGCACTCTAACCCCAGTGGGTGATCGAGTCTCTATGCCCAGGAGGGGATATTCTCACCAAGACTCCACCCGAGATGAATCAAATGATCAGTACTCTAGCTTTTAGGAATCATTCTTGGGGGCAGAGCACCAGAAGCCGGAGTTCCCGTGATCAAGGTGTGCACGCCATGGAGGCCAGGTCCAGGCTAGAGCGGTAGGTGGCCGAGTTAGTCCAGACATTGAAGCAGCGCAATAGTCTTATTAAGGGCAGAGGGCTGGTCGGGCCTTTAGTTGCACAATGTCAGTGGTGTGAGAGTTTGAACCATCTGGTGAAAGACTGCCAGACTATGCGGGAGTCTTCTACACCCCAGGAGTAGTTGGACTTCATTGCCAATGCTCGGCGCCTTGATCCTTACAGTGGAACATATAATGAAGGGTGGCGCCAGCATCCCAACTTCTCCTAGTATGGCAATAACAGCAACACCACTAAACCACCTGGTTTCCCAGCACAAGCAGGTGGTTTTCAGTAGAGGCAACCCGCCCAGGCCCGGGAGGGTCCATTTCCACATCAACAGCCTTACCAGTCCAGACAGGGGCAACCATTCCAGCAGCCGCAACGCAAGTATGCCCAATTGCCAGCAGCTATAGCTCCAAATACCCAGATGACTGAGCTGAAAAACATTTTGCAGGCATTCATGACTACCAGCCAGGCGAATTTCGCCAGGATGGACCAGAACATAACCTCACTGGAGGCAGGCCAGAGGAACTAAGGTGCCATATTTCAGGATCTCTAAAATCAGATTGGTGGCATAGCTCGCCAAAATAACACCAGAGCATCGGGGACTCTGCCTGCCACCACCATTCCAAATCCTCGCGAGCCTCACCAGTAGCTGGATGCCATCACTACCAGGAATGGCAAGACAACATCTGTTGTCCCTGCCCCGGCCATGTAGGAAGAGCCACTATCTGCTTCAGCACTTCCAGCTGACGATGCAGAAGTGGGGATGCAGAAAGAAGCACATGCTCCCAAGTCACAGCCAGTGGTTAAGGAGCATGTACCCCAGCTTCCCTTCCCCACTCGCCTACACAACGACAAGTTGGAGACTGAGTTTTCCAAGTTCATGGCAATGTTGAAGCAGGTCAACATCAGCATGTCGTTTGTGGAGGCACTGTTGAAGATGCCCAAGTACGCCAAATTCATGAAGGATCTCCTCACCAACAAAAAGAAACTTGGGGATCTCTCGACAGTGATGCTGAGCGAGGAGTGTTCTGCCATCCTGCAAAACAAGCTTCCCGAGAAGCGCAAAGACCTAGAGAGTTTTACTATCCCTCCTATTTTTTGGCAACATGCATGTAGGAAAATCCTTGGAGGACTTAGGTGCTAGCATTAAGGTCATGCCTTATAAATTGTTTAAAAAGCTAGACCTAGGTGAACCTAGAACTACTAGGATGAGCATCCAGTTAGCTGATCGCTCTATTGTGCATCCTTGGGGTATCATAGATAGGGCTGGAGATCGGGTCGGGTCCTAGTACCCGGACCGAAATATGCGGGTACCCGAACCCAAAAAACGTCAGTTTGAGGAACCAG